AAACGAGTTCTGGTACAGCAGCAACGGCTTGAACAGGTCCCAGAGAGACGAGTGGATCTGAGCACCTGCAACAGCTGATGCAAGAAAATGCTCTTCTAGGATTTGGCTACAGCTGAAACTACCACGGTTAATTCAAAGCTCACAGCTGCGGTGGGAAACGGCTGACTCCTCCCCCACGACCAGCCCCACTCGGCTCACCCAATCCACTGATACCATCCTCTTAGGCCCTACCCAGATTCCAATTTTATGGGGCTGGCGCCCTACTCCTTTGAGCCCCAGGCACCGCCCCCTTTTTTTTTTTTTTTTTTTTTGGTACGCCGGGCTATGGTTGTAGTTGTCACTGTTGTTTTGGCAGACCCGGGCTGGGTTCAAATCCGCCAGCTCCGCTGTATGTGGCTGGCGCCCTAGCTACTGAGCTACAGGCATCGAGCCCCAGATTCCAGATCTTTTTTATTTTTATTTTGCTTTCAATTTCAGCTGGCTTTCACTCATCTCAGTTTGAAGTTTTTTTGTTTTTGTTTTAGTTTTGTAGAGACAGAGTCTCACTTTGTCACCCTCGGTAGAGTGCTGTGACATCACACAGTCACACAGCTCACAGCAACCTCCAACTCCTGGGCTTAGGCGATTCTCTTACCTCACCCTCTGGAGTAGCTGGAACCACAGGCGCCCGCCACAGCGCCCTGCTATTTTTTGGTTGCAATTTGGCGGGGGCCACGTTTGAACCCGCCACCCTAAGTATATAGGGCCAGTACTCTACCCGCTGAGCCACAGGCGCCACCCTGAAGTTTTTTTTTCTTTAATTTTTTTTTCCTTCTTTCCTCCTTTAGCGATTCTCTTGCCCTTTGCCTCCCAAGTAGTTGGGATTACAGGCGCCTGCAACAACACCTGGCTTTTTTCTTTTTTTTGGTACAGACGGGGATCTCTGGCTCATTCTGGTCCATGCTGGTCTCCAACCTCTGAGTTCAGGTGATCCACCTGCCTCGGCCTCCCACAGCGACAGGAGGTGTGACCTACCACACCCAGCCCAGATTCCAAATCTTAACAGTTTAATTTAATATTCCCAGCTCATTTTGTTCACCCTTGGCTAGGATTTGTTGAGTACCTACGGTGTTTCCTCGAAAATAAGAGACTGTCTTATATTTATTTTTTCTCAAGAAGACACACTAGGGCTTATTTTCAGGGGATGTCTTATTTTTATTAAGACAATCTACATTGTTTATACAACAATCTACATTTATTCAAATACAGTTAAGTCATCATCTTCTGGAACCTGACAGGGGGAGCCAACCTTGTTGGTGGGGCTGGCACTAGTGATGCATGAACTCCTTTCCCCTAGCCATTTGCCCATGGGCAATGGGATGACTGCGACTGTGGTTACCACACTGGCACCTGGGGAAAAAGGAGCTGGGGCAGATAAAAAGTATTCCAGTCTTCCATATGGATGAGGCGCCAAAATGAATGGCGTGGCTATGCAGATAGACTTCATAGCCACGCCCATCACCAGGTCTTATTAGGGGGGGCTTATATTTAACAAATGCATAGAAATCTTGCTAAGGCTTATCTTTGGGGTAGGTCTAATTTTCGGAGAAACACAGTACAACGTGTTGGAGTACTGTGCTTAGAAGCTTTAAACCTGGGCGGCGCCT